CTTTCTGATAAATATATGTGAGTAACATATTGTTGATCAGAAATGATGTAGAATTTTTCTAGAAAGCATAAAGGAGTATTTGAAAGGAGTTCTTTAAAAGAAAGACCTCAGTAAAGCTACTTACATATTGAGCATCAAGATCTATTGAGATAGATCAAGACGCTTGATAAGTTTTTTCAATAAGTACATACCTTGTCAAGATTTTGAAGTAGTTCAAAATGGAACAATCAAAGAAAGAGTTCTTGCCTGTGTTGCAAAGGTGTGAAATTTAGTAAGACTCAAATCCCGACCACGATAGAAAATAGAAAAGAGAATGAAAGTCATTCCCTATTCCTCAGTCATAGGTTCTATAAAGTATGCTATGCTATGTACCAGACCTATTGTATACCTTGCTCTGAGTTTGGCAAGGGAGTACAATAGTGATCTAGGAGTAGATCACTGGATATTGGTCAAGAATATCCTCAGTGAGAACTAAGGAAATATTTCTCGATTATGGAGGTGATAAAAGAGCCCGTCATAAAGAGTTACATCGGTGCAAGCTTTCACACCGATCCAGATGACTCTAAGTCTCAATCTGGATACATATTGAAAGTGGGAGCAATTAGCTAGAGTAGCTCCGTGCAGAGCATTATAGACATAGAATATTTGCAAAATACATACGGCTCTGAATGTGACAGACCCGTTGACTAAGCTTCTCCCACAAGCAAAACATGATCACACCTTAGTACTCTTTGGGTGTTAATCACATAGCGATGTGAACTAGATTATTGACTCTAGTAACGAGTAAAGAGACTTGCCGGTAACGAGATTGAACTAGGTATTGAGATACCGACGATCGAATCTCGGGCAAGTAACATATCGATGACAAAGGGAACAACGTATGTTGTTATGCGGTTTGACCGATAAAGATCTTCGTAGAATATGTAGGAGCCAATATGAGCATCCAGGTTCCGCTATTGGTTATTGACCGGAAACGTGTCTCGGTCATGTCTACATAGTTCTCGAACCCGTAGGGTCCGCACGCTTAAGGTTTCGATGAAAGTTATATTATGAGTTTATGTGATTTGATGTACCGAAGGTAGTTCAGAGTCCCGGATGAGATCGGGGACATGACGAGGAGTCTCGAAATGGTCGAGACGTAAAGATCGATATATTGGACGACTATATTCGGACATAGGAAAGGTTCCGAGTGATTCAGATATTTTCGGGGGTACCGGGGAGTTACGGGAATACGAGGAAGAAGCAATGGGCCTCATGGGCCAAGTGGTGGAAGAGAGGAGGCAGGGCGCGCGACCCCCCTAGCCCAAACCGAATTGGACTAGGGGGGCGGCCCCGCTTTCCTCTTTTTCCTCCCTCTCCTTCCTTCTCCTTCTCCTTCCCTTCCTCCCCCTCTCCTACTTGGACTAGGAAAGAGGGGGGAATCCTACTTGGAGTAGGATTGCCCCCCTTGGGCGCGCCTCCTCCCCCCTTTATATATGGAGGAGGGAGGCACCCCATAGGGACAACAATTGATCTCTTGATCTCTTAGCCGCGCGCGGTGCCCCCCTCCACCACAGTCCTCCTCGATAATATTGTAGCGGTTCTTAGGCGAAGCCCTGCGACGGTAGAACATCAAGATCGTCACCACGCCGTCGTGCTGACGGAACTGTCCCTCGACACTCGGCTGGATCGGAGTACGAGGGACGTCATCGAGCTGAACGTGTGCTAGAACTTGGAGGTGCCGTAGTTTCGGTGCTTGATCGGTCAGGCCGTGAAGACGTACGACTACATCAATCGCGTTGTTCTAACGCTTCCGCTTTCGGTCTACGAGGGTACGTGGACACACTCTCCCCTCTCGTTGCTATGCATCACCATGATCTTGCGTGTGCGTAGGAATTTTTTTGAAATTACTACGTTCCCCAACAAAAAGGGGATCTGAGCGAGAGGGAATGCGTGGGGTAGCTTGGGTTCGGGTCGTCGAGATGGGGATGGGTGTCTTGAGGGCGCCAGGGAGCCGCCCGATGGCCGCCACGGCGACAACCGAGGCTGTGATGGGCATCGGGGGTGGCCACGCCCGCCTGGTGGGCTGAGGCCCAATGGGGCAGGAGGCTTTCTCTTTTTCCTTTTTTTCCATTTTTGTTTTCTTTTTAATTTCCTTTTATTTTAGTTTTATAAAATTTAAACCTAGTCCCTAAATTACTATTATTAATTATGCCACTGCCAAATTTAGTTTAGTACTTAAATACAATACCTTGCAATCTTTATTATTTAAAAAGCATTTACATAATTGTTTTAGCCCCTGTTTTATCTATTTTACGGCATTTAAAAACTTTATAAAATATGGGTTTCAACATGAAAATTACTCATTGATTATTTGCAATAGAATGAACATTTTTATTTTGCTGTTTGAATAAATATTATTTTTACTTTATTTTAAATTTGAAATTGATTTGAATTTTGCTCAAATGACAAATGGATTAGCAAAAGGTGATGACATGGCACCATTAGGGGGAGATTACTGTAGCTTGACACTGGGGGTGTTACAAGGGAGTACAGGGCTCCTCATGACCAACGTGTCGCAGCATACTGGAATAGAACTTTGGTGGCGCCGGAGGTCATCGGTTTGGAGCCGAAGGAGGAAGAAGCGGTGGAGATTGTTATCAGGGCGCCGGAGCCAGGCTATCATACTTTGCCAGTCGACCTGGACTCTGGCGAGGATGATGATATGGTGGTCCAGGCGGAGGACAAGAACAAGTCCAAGGCCGCCCGTCACTCCAACAGCCTCAAGGGTCGCCGGGGCTAAGATTAGAAACTAATGTGTAAGATTTACCGCCAATCCCCATTCCCCTTGTACTCAATCCTGATCGGAACCCTAAAATCCATCGCTACTAGGAACTCATGATGATGTTAATTAATACTATGGCTATTTACCCTGATTACCCATTCCCCTAGAATGCAAATCGAATGCGAAGTAAGTGGTGATGGTGAAAAAAGTGCTTACCACCATTGCCGAAGTGTTGTGGGTGATGTTGCGGATCGAATGCCCGTGATGAAGGTCGGTGGTCGTCTTGTTGTTCTCCGATCCGCTGAACACCGCTGCCGCCGGTGGGAGTGAGAGAGTGGGGAGAGGGAAGAGAGAGTGGCGAGGGAAGGTGGCGGTAATTATTGCCGACGCTTCGGGAAGCAACACGGCTTCTCGAGCGAGGTTCCCTGCGTGCAGCTGCCGCCATCCACGTGCATCGAGCGGGCCTAGCTCTGGAAAAACTGCCGATTTGAGCGTTCCCAGCGGGCCTGGCTGGGAGGTGCTTTGAGGTCCGTGCGATGCAATCCCAAAAACGAATGCAAGACATCAAACAACCCATTTTCTTCCCGTGCGGGCCTGGTTGGCCTCTATGTGGGCTACCAAACACGCCCTTATGTGATTTAGAACTCAAGAGTGTGGAAGCATCTTTGTTCACCAAAATGCAGAGTAGGGCTTGTGCCCATGGACGGGAACATTTGGGTTTCGGGTGTAATTATACCTGATATTTTTTTAAAAAAATAGTAATTTGTAAGAAAGTCAAAAAAATCCGAAACTTTTTGCAAACAAAGTAGATTTATTGTTGCACTCATATAAAATCTTTCACGAAGAAATGACTTTCATGTTGTTGTGGACGTAAAAAATAAATTTGTCACTATATACGAGGTAATGTTCATGCTATTGCGAGAGAATATTTGTCATTTTTGTCAGAGAATATTCCGTTACAGAATATTTTTGCACACAGAAACGACAGCTCAAGTTTGTTGAAAATAGAATTTGGAGTGTTTTGACTTTTACTCCCTCCGTTCCTAAATATAAGTCTTTTACAGATTTTAATATTGACTACATACGGATGTATATAGACATAGTTTAGAGTGTTGATTCACTTCTTTGTGTCCATTCATGTAATCTGAACATTTTTCTCTGCACTTCCTTTCCTCTTCTCGAAAAACACATGCATGTAAGCGAGCGAGATTACAGGCTAAAGACCATGATGGGAAGTTCATCAATGCAGAATTTTAGAGAACTTGACTAACTGTAAATTGCATCAGCACAACTCTGGAAAGCTGCTTAATAAGACAGAATTAGGAAACTAACTAGTAACTTGGCAGAAACTTGCCCCACGACAATTTAGAGCAGTAACGAACTCTATAGAAATGCTTAATCAGACACAATTGTAGGAAACTAGTACTCCTACATAGTAACTTCACAGAAACTAGCACAAAAAACATGAGATCGGATCATTACATGATCATCCAATCTACTTCACATCTTAACATAACAGAAACAGAATGGTCACTGTAAGTTCATGAGCCAAAACCGAAACGGCAATATGAAAGATTTTCAGTTAGCATAATCCTGGATGACATTGGGGCTGCATATGCTCCATGATGGAAAACACGGAATACACAGATGATAATGATGACCAGAACAAACTGAAGTACACAAAGATCCTGGAGATCAAACCATCACAGGATCATCCCACAAACTCAATTTAGTACAGTACTTCTTATAACAGAACAAAATGATCACTGCAGTGAGTTTGGGTCATGCCCGATCAAACACACATGCGCTTCAAATAGAATCTTACCAACTGAACAACACTCCCATGCATGCAGTTCAAGATTCGGAGTACAAGTTGGAAATAATCTGGAAGCAAAGTGAACCATGCATATTAATAAATGGTATCTGATGCATACAGGACGAAATTAGCACAAGCAAGAGTGCAAGACAGACAGTCGGTGTAAGCCGAAATCTGTACACGAACATGAACAGAGGCAGAGCAACCAGATCAATCAAATTCATACCAAAATCCATTCAAGCAATACTGGACAAAAATGTGACCAGAAGTAGAACACATTGCATACGTGACCAGGAGTAGAACACATTACATACTCATCACGACACGATACGACTGCCTAGTCTCTCGTTCGAACTACTAGTAGCAAATCCTTCATGGCTAGAAACACAGAAGAACAAAATGATCGAGAAGACTCACGCATCACTCACCAGGAGCTACTTGCCTCTTGGGAGAAGTCATCGCTGAGGAGGGGCAGTCGCCGAAGGGTCCCCCGACGCTGCAGGTGCTGGTCTGGACGGCGGACGCAGCGGCCACCGAGGCGGCGAGGTTGGCGAGGTTGAGGCGGGGTCGGGGGAACGGCATGTAGACGTCGTGGACGGCGATGCGGGAGTTGACCACCACGTCGAGCTCCTTGATGGGTATGTAGTTGATGCTGACGTCGATGTTGTAGGCCGACGCGGAGCCGGCGCCGTTGGTGACGACAAGGCTCTGGCCCTCGCCGGCCAGCGTGGGGAGGATCATGCCAGGGCGGAGGCGAAGGAGGTCGGCGTGGGTGAGGCGGTGGTCGGGGACGATGTGGAAGCGCAACGCTGAGACGTAGTGGTGGCCTCCGCCGACGAAGATGGCCTGGTCGTCGAGCGCGAAGAGCGTCAGGTTGGCGAACCTCTCGAGCTCGGCGAGCTTGACGCGCATGGCCAGCGCCATGAAGCCGTAGCCCCGGTCGCGGAGACGCGCGATGGCGTCGCGGATCATGATGCGCATCACGGAGGCGGCGGTGACAGGACCTAGTGAGGGCGATCTCTGAATTTGCACACAATTGGAAAGAACACAGGAATTCGGTGGGAAATTTGGGGATCGATTGACTCAGATCCGAAACAGGAAGCTAGGGTTTTCGCCAGCCGGAACACGGCGGCTACAAGGGCCAAGCCTGGAATAATTCAGCGTGCCCCTCTCCACAAGCCGGAGGGGGTTATATAAAGCAAAATTCAGGTAAAATAGATAGCGACAGGTTCGACAGGTAAAAGGACAGCGCGGTAACTTTTAAAAAGTAGAGCGAAACGATTCCAGCCGTCCAGATGAAGATCAACGGCTGATGGACACCCTTAAACGGCGAAGCGGTAAGTACTTCACCTCGCCGCCCGATCACAGATCAACGGTCCTAGCTCCTCCAGACAAAACTCACAACACTGTGGATTATCAGATGAGCTTCCGCTTTGGGCAGGCCTGACAATTCCCCCCTGCTAACAACAGACTTGCCCTCAAGGATGGAATTCTGGGAAAATCTTCTGTATGAAAGCCGCATCCTCCCAGGTTGCATTCTCTACTGGTAAATTGAGCCACTTGATGTGCCATTGCACCACTGGAATACTAATATCACCCTGAACCCGAGGGATCAACCTTCTGTCCAGCAGAGTTTCAGGTTGAATTAGAATGTGACCCTGTTCATCGAGGAGCGGTAAGGATGGGTTTGGGACAGCTTCCGGCCCAATGTGCTTTTTGAGTTGACTGACATGGAAGGTGGGGTGGAGCTGACAGCCCTCAGGAAGAAGGAGGCGATAAGCTACAGCTCCAATTCTTTCCATGACTCCGAAGGGACCATAGTACTTGGAATGTAGCTTCAGATGTCTGTGTATACTTAAGCTAGTGTGCCTGTATGGTTGTAATTTTACATAGACCATATCTCCAACTGCAAGCTGTCTTTCAGATCTCTTTTTGTCAGCAAAGAACTTCATTCTTTCTTGTGCTTTGAGCAAGTTGTCTTTTATCTGTTGAGCTATTGTGTCCCTGTCCAACTGAGCATGGTGATCGTCTCCTTCCACTGGTGGTAGCATTAGTTCTGCAATTAGGGGAGGAGGTCTTGCATACAGAGCTTGGAAAGGGGTCATTTTCAGAGAAGTGTGGAAGGTGGTGATGTACCACCACTCAGCCATGAAGAGCCAAGAGTACCATTTCTTGGGCTGAGCAAAAGCCATGCATCTTAAGTAATTTTCCAGACACTGGTTCACCCTTTCAGTTTAACCATATGATTGTGGGTGGTAGGAAGTACTCATGTGCAGTTTGACTCCCATTTTGGTGAACAGATGTTGCCAAAGATGACTAGTGAAAATCCTATCTCTGTCTGTTACTATGACAGTGGGCAGTCCATGCAGTCTGAATATATTGTCGGTAAAAGCTTGAGCTACTGTTTTGACTGTAATTGGGTGCCTCATAGCAACAAAATGAGCATATTTGGTGAAACGATCCACCACCACCAAAATCATGTCTTTGTGTTCAGATTTTGGTAGGCCTTCTACAAAGTCCATGCTTATGTGAGTCCAAGCAAAATCAGGAACTGGGAGAGGTTGCAGCAAGCCAGGAGGGTGCACATGTTGGGCTTTGTTCAATTGGCAGATAGGGCACTGTTGAACAAAGGTTTGCACAGCTTTTCTCATGCCAGGCCAAGTGAAAAGGATTTTCAGTCTGTGATATGTAGCTCTTTCTCCAGAGTGGCCTCCTAGTTCAGATTTGTGGAAGGAAGTCAACAGGGAGGTTTTGAGTTCACTGTTATTGCCAACCATGATTTTGCCCTTGTACCTGAGTACTCCACTGGTAAGAGTGTAAGGAGGCTGAGCAGCTGGATCAATTGCAAGTTTAGTAATGAGTTCAGAACATTTAGTGTCCCCCTTGTAACTGTTCACAACTTCAGTAATCCAGGATGGAATTGTTGTGCTAGAACCCAAAATATTGAGAGCATGTTTAACTCTGGAAAGAGCATCTGCTACTCTGTTTTCCTTGCCTTTCTTGTATTCCACTGTGAAGTTGTAACCCATTAATTTAATGAGAAGTTTGTCCTGAATCCCTTCAGTGACCTTTTGCTCTTGTATGTATTTCAAACTCTGCTGGTCAGTTCTGATAATCAGAGAATATGAAGCAAAGTAGTGCTTCCATTTCTTAATTGCTTCAATGATTGCCAATGCTTCCTTATCATAAGTGGACCATCCAGCAGCTTTAGGCCCTAAGGCTTTGCTCATGTATGCAATAGGCTGTCCTTTTTGCATTAGGACTGCTCCAATTCCATATCCAGAAGCATCTGCTTCCAATACAAAGGGCAAGGAAAAATCAGGTAAGGCAAGAACTGGGGCAGAGGTCATTCTGTTCTTAAGTTGTTGGAAAGCAGCTTGTTGTGTTTCAGTCCAGATAAATCCATCCTTTTTCAAGGCATCAAATAGTGGCTTGCAGATCAGACCATAATTCTGAACAAACCTACTATAGTACCCAGCTAATCCCAAGAAACTCCTCAAGTGTGTCACATTCTGGGGTGTGGGCCAGTTTAAAATTGCCTCTACTTTAGCAGGGTCTGTAGAAACTCCCTTGTCAGAGATCACATAGCCCAAGTACTCCACTTTATTTTGTGCAAATGTGCACTTAGAGAGCTTTGCATAGAATTGATGTTTTCTGAGTGCTTCCAGAACCAAGGCTACATGTTCCAAGTGCTCCTTGTATGTCTTGCTAAAGATGAGGATATCGTCAAAGAAAACTAGCACACAGTGTCTCGGAAGGGGTCCCAATACTGTGTGCATGAGTTCTGTAAATGTATGGGGGCCATTGGTTACTCCAAAGGGCATTACTAGGAACTCAAACAGGCCTATGTGTGTGCTGAAAGCTGTTTTCTCAATGTCCCCTTCCTTCATTCTGATTTGATGATAACCACTCCTCAGATCCAGTTTGGTGAATATTTTTGCTCCATTAAGTTCATCCAAAAGATCCTCAATCATTGGTATAGGATACTTGTTCTTGATGGTGTGAGTATTCAGTTTCCTGTAATCAATGCAGAGTCTCCAAGTCATATCCTTTTTCTTTACTAGAATAGCAGGAGAGGAATATGGACTGTGACTTAGTCTGATAATTCCTTTATTGAGGAGATCTTTAATGGTTTCCTCTAGAGCATTTTTCTGGTGATGTGGCAACCTGAATCCTCTCTGGTTTATAACTGGGGCTCCTGGCTCTAGGTTAATTGCATGGTCACATTCTCTTTGAGGAGGTAAACCAGTAGGCTCTGCAAAAACATCCTTGAAGTTATCTAAAAGTGTAGGAATTCCAGGTTTCTTGACAGAGTCATCTATGGTTTCAAGTTGCACTGGTTGCATCCACATCAGGGCTCCAGTGAGCAAGTCATCCATTATGTTCTCCATATCTTGCAGTAAAGGAGTACAGGGACTTGTGGGCAAGCTCTCATCCAAGAAGGTTATTTGTTTTCCATTTAGAAGTTTAATTCCAAGCTTCATGTTGGGCAGATCAAAAATAACAAGACTATGCTTAAACATCCAGTCAGCTCCAAGTATAATATCATATCCAGTAAGTTTCAACATCCTGAAATCAGACGTTAATTCCACCCCTTGGACAGTGTATTTGGTGTTGTAGAGAGAGAAGTCACTGTATAGCTTGCCCCCATTTGCAATAGTTACTTGCACTTGGTTCACTGGTGTGGCTGGGCATCCCGATTGTAAGGCTAGGGCAGGAGAAATGAAGGTGGTAGTACTACCACTATCCACTAAAGCCAGGCCTACGATGTTTCCAATTTGGACCTGCAGAGTGAAAGTGTTTTTCTTTTTGTCTTCAGGTACTCCTGTAACAGCATGCATAGAAATTTTGAGCTCTTGCTGATCAGGAGGCTCTTCCTCCCCATCTGACTGTACCTCCTCTGCATCTACTATGTAGATGATGTCAGGATTTTCTGCTTGTTCTTGTAATGCTTGAATTTGAGCTTTCTGTGACAGTTTGCACACCTGCTTATGTCCTGGAAACCATGGCTCTCTGCATTTATAACAAGTGCCCTTTTCTATGGCCTGTTGTATAACAGTAGCAAGTGATGTACTTGCAGGGATCACAGGTTTAGAGATTTCTCCTGGAGTTCCTCTTCTGTAGTTTGGCACATAGGACTTGTGAGTTGTAGTTGCAGGACATGATTTCTCAATTCTTCTAGCTAACCACATAGCTTTGGTCATGTCAGTAGGTTCTAAACATTCCAAGTGACTTTGGATATAAGGATTCAGACCTGCAATGAAACTATGCATGTAATAGTCATCTGGTACTGCAGGGTTGTCCCTTCTCATCAAGTTCATGTGCTGCTCGAAATCAGCTATATACTGGGCAACTGAAGTTTGCTGAGTTAACTTGTGGAATGCTTTCACATTTTCACACACAGTTGTTATGGCAAATCTTTGTGTAATAGTAGAGCAGAACTTGTGCCAAGGAGTGTGATGAGCAATGAACCCAGTACCTCTCCACCATTGTATGGCCTCTCCCTTCAAATAGGAAACAGCTATCTCAGTCCTCTGTTCAATTGGTGTTCTTGCAGCTGAGAAGTATTGTTCAATGTTTTGTATCCATGAGTCAGCATCCACTCCATCAAATTCAGCAATGTTTAATTTTGCAGGTTTAACACTCATAAGATTTCTTCTGACTTTAGGAACATAGGGTCTGTTTCTTTCTCTTCTCCCCTCTGCTTCAGGCAATTCATCTACTGTCATAATTTGTCTTATGACTTGTCCTTGTTGCTGTGGAGGTGTGATGAATTCCTGCTTATTAACATCATGGTTAGGATGCCTATAAGGTCCTTTACGAGTGCCATCCATATCCAGTTCTCTGCTTGTAGCTTTGTCCACCAGAACAGCAGATCCGACAGTTGCAGGCTCATGTTTATCAGGAGGAAAATGGTTGTTCGGCAGCTGTTTTGGTCTCCCTGGAGGAACCACTGTGCTTCCTTGGCCAGATAATGGATC